TGTGTGTGTGTGTGTGTGTGTATGTGTGTGTCTGTGTGTGTGTAGATATATGCAGGGTGCGAAAGAAAGAGGCGGTCAAACTTTGGTACCTATTCCATCAAAAATCGAAAAATGTCTATAACCGGAGAAGTAAGAATTTTCCGATCTATGTTTATTCGGTCCTTTTTGTCCCTTAGGCACGGTGGAACACGATACAAAAAGTTTGACCATTTATTTCTTTGACACCGTGTATATACTTCGGACGCACGATTCAAAGGAATCTGTTTCGAATTTGAATCATACACGTAACACGATTTGTTCCGTATGCCAACTTCAAAGTATAGACAAGTGTTCGTGTGTTAGAAATGCTTCGATACTTTTAGACGCCGTTGCTTCCATAAACATCGTATAAAGATCATCGCTACATAAATCGACGAATATCGAATAAAATATCGAACATCATACCCTCATTTGTTCTCTATATATTGTTTTCGTAATAATTGCACTTCGTTCTCGTTTCACTTCATGAGTTGACAAACTCTGCGAACACAATAGATATGGTGTTTCTCTTTCACACGCGAGATCTATGATCGTAAAAAAATCTGATATGTCATGATATCAGATTTCTGTTGTAAACCAACGTAGTATAAATATAATTAAACAACAATTTACTTGTCTACTATCGGGAAGTATCATCAAGCTTTTTTTCGTTTATTGCGCTTTCATTGGCCCGAACGAATATTAAATAGTGTATTATCCGTAATATTCAGTCCTCTTTCTCGCTCTCTGTCATACGATGCTTTAGCATAGGAATACAAACTTATATACAAAATGTTGGAGGCCAATGCACTCACACACGCATACAAACACGCACGCATACAAACATTCAAATAATTCAGTAAGAGAGAAAGAGAAAGAGCCGAATACATTTTCATTTACATGCAAGATGTCCTAAAAATCTTCGAGTACAACGTCAAAGATCGTATTCTTCATTAAAGTCCAACAATTTCAATCGCTCTGTGCAACAAGTGGTAAAAGAAAAATGGTAAGAAAGAATACTCGTTCCTCGAGAAGCCTCAACGATAATTACGGCCTGCTCAACACTCTCAAACAATTCTTCAGGAAGACTCAATAAGCTTGCCATAAACACCAACAAACATGACGCATAACAAGAAATTCGTGATACACAACTCAATAAGAAGTGTACAATCTTTCGAATTATCGTCAACATTTCTAGAACATCCTGTAAATGTTTCTGTATGCACATTTCTTTATATACGTTGAGCATAGCGCGTTTTGCAATTCAGTTTCATTCGACTTAAACTTTTAAAATT